AGGAGGAGGAGGAGGAGGAGGAGGAGGAATAAACAAAGGAAGCAGAATTGTAACAGAAACAGCTATGATGCAGAAGTAAAGCAATCACATAAGGATGGACCTAGCTTAGTACAAATCAGAATGAGAGATGGAGAAGAAAGAGAAAACTCAATAAATGGTGTGTGTGTGTGAAGGAAGCATGTTAAATACCCAAGCTTGTTTAGAATAACTGGCTGATATTCTGACCAAAAGAAAGCTACAACATCTTGCTGCAGAATGCATGAGATTTCATCTGTTATTGATTATTGTGATTAAGTGCTCACAATCTGGTAGGCGTGTGCTTTAGTTTCAAATTATTAGCATGTGTCTTAGAGGAAAAAGGCCAAACTTCAGCGACTTGAATGCATGTACTAAAAGCAGAATAGCCCCGCCTCAGTCCACGCCGAGCACAGCTGCTGCCAACGAGCATCTGTGAGATGTACATAAGACGGATGCTGTGATTTAGTATTAAATAACTTTACATGTTCAAAGGAGAGCATCAGGAATTGCAAAACATCCATTAAAGGGCTACTTTGCAACAGAGCCAGTATCTCTTTTTCTGGCGGATTACTTTTTAAAATTCAACACCCACAAGCCGAGCGGAAATGCACGTGTGCAGGCACAGGCGTGTAAGAAGCTAATGAGAAGTCTGGCCAGCAGGTACATTATCAACTCCTGCCTCACAGCAGGCAGCTTTGTGACAAGGATAACCAGAGGGTTTTTAAACAGAAGTACATTAATGAACTAGAGGAAAACAGCAAATACAAAGGAGGGGTGGAGATAAAGGAGGGGACAGTCTATCAACTGAAAGCTCACCCAGTCACCCAGAAGAATAAAATGCATGCTTTGAAATGTCTTTGCCCATCCATTAAGCCCTCTCTGTGGGACCAGCCTCCCAGCTTACAGCTGCATTGTTTAGATGCTGAGTGTTTGGCTGCGGAGCACAGTAGACTGTCAAAATCTTCCATTGCAGGTACTGCCAACAACCATGTGAATTGTACCTATTCTTAATCTTTTGTGGGGGTGAAGGCCAATGTTGAACTTAGAGCTGCTTTCTCCAGCATGGTACCATGCAGGCCTACGGGATTACAAACCTACCGAGCGCCCCCGACTAATATACTTTGACAAAGTAATGTATGTATGTGGGGAGGGGTGGGGGGAAGAGAGAAGCTATCAGGACAGAACAGCCAGTGTCTATACCTACAAAGGTCAGAATCGTGCAGGCAATGGTCTTCCCTGTGACACTTCATAGAAACCAAAATTGGACTTTGAAAAAGCAGGATACAAAGAGTATCTATGTTTTTGAACTTTGGTGTTGGAGAAGACTTATGAGAATACCATGGACAGCCAAGAAAACAACAAATAGATTACTGAACAAATAAATCCAGAGTTCTTACTTGAGGCACCAATGACCAGGGTCAAATTAATGTATTTTGGACACATTCGGTCAAAACCTAGCTCTCTTGAGAAGGGTGGGAAGGGTGGAAGGAAAGAAAAGAAGATGTTGAGCAGTAAGTGAATGGAAATGGGAGGTGTGAAGGAACAGGCTGAGAAGAGATCATCCTGGAAACATTTGTCTATGAGGTCACTAAGCGTCGACACCAAGTTGATGGCAGGTAATTACTAATTCAACAAGTCCCAACATGCTTTATGTCACTCCATGGTTTCTATAGTCTATATTGGCAGTAACTCTGGAAAGACAGAGCACATTAGCAGCTTAGCAAACCATTGGACCGAATGCTGCCACTACATTTCCCCTTTGTTTTATACACTAAACCAAGCTATCCTGAGATTTGATATTTAGACCAGTTTGAGTGGGCCTTAATACTCTATGTGTCTAGAGACATGGCTAGGGCCAGGGAATCTATGGATCCTTCCTCAACCCAACCCAACCCAACCCTTGCTATCTCCTCTTTCAGACCTTTCCAATACTGGTATTTCCCAGTGTTTCCCAGTGTTTCCCAACTTTTACCACTCACTGTCTAAGATGATGAATGGTGTGAACACTGCTGAGCCCTAGAGATTGAAACTGACACCTGATTTCTTCATATGTTTGTCTCAAGATACAGACTAGTTCATTTCATCATCATTGTTGCTGGACTGAACTCACACTAAGCTATAACATGATTTCTTTGGCTTTGGGATAGCATGTCGTTTGAACCCAGCCACCGTAGTTCATAAACTATGGTTTATGGCATTGTATGCAACGCTTTCTGGGCTGAGAGCCCTGCTTAACCTTCAGGCGGAGTGTTTGAGATCCTGGGTAAGGCCAAGAAAAGCTAAATTTGATGTAACTTTATTTACATCTTACTTAATCAAAAATTAAATGTAATAAATATTATTATTTTCTATTTATAGAAATTCATTCAGAAATTACAGGTTGGAAACAAAATTTGGAAGTTCCCAGAGCCCAAAAGGCTTTGAGGGTCATATGCAGCCCTAGAGTCTCAGACTATGCACATGTTGTGTGAATCCAGCTAACTAAAGCTTAGTCAACTAACCTGGTTAAACACACAATGGTATAATTCAATACATAGCTCTGTTTCTGAGTCTGTAACAGATCCATTGATCCTCTCCCTATTGCTAAAAGATTTCTTAAAAAAACAAAGAACATGGACAAATACAACCAGAATCCACAACTCAGGCTATGACTCAGTCTTATGCCTAATAAATATCGCAGGAATCATCCAATGAAGTAATCCGAGTTACTGACTGGACTCTCTGCTTGGTGAAACTCACTTTGCCTTCAAGCAGCTGGCAAAGGGGCCTAACTAAGCTGTGAAGTCCCACAGAGTCCCATAAAGGGGCATTGGGAAGACTTTTTCAGGGTTTATCCCCTGCAGCCCCCCAGCCAGATGCAGCCCATTTTTACACTCAATCCTTCTTTCGCTGGCTTCTCCTCTTACATAAAATGTGTTCCTATTCTGTTCAGTTTTTAGACAGTTGTCCTGCTAATGGATAAGCAGAGAGGCCTGAGACCTTTTACATAATTTCTTTCCAGCATTCAGATTGGGTTGGAAAGAATAAGAAGAGCTACAAAAATACCCAGTGCATTGGCTGATGATTCAGGGGCACAAAACAAAACAGAGAGGAACCGACAGCTGGCAGGCACCCATTTAGACCAAGGCAAAGTAGCCAATAAAAAACAGTATTTCTTTTTTAAAAACACCAGTTACTGTAAAGAGCCACTGTATGTTATACTCAATAAAGGAACGGATTGTTCATGAGTCTGTTCACACTCCGAGAATCAACAGTTTTCATTGTACCAAGTGTCTACTGGAAGGCAATTCTGGGGTTGGGTGGGTGGAAAGAAAGCTCTCCTTAATTCAAAAATCCCAGCATGTTAAAAAAAAGTCTACATTTAATGAGAAAAATATATAATTCTCCCTTTCTCTCTCTCAGAAACTACAACCTAGCTGAAACATCACTTCAGAACATGCAAATTCCTGTTCACATTGCTGCATTTCAAATTACCCAATTTTACAGCGTGACTCTAATCTCCAGAACCAGCAGAAGGAGGCTAGGACCACCAGGGAAACCCCTCTGTTGGAAAAGATGGGTAATGGGATTGTCCACCTTAAAAAAAAACCCTCCACAAATATTTATTTCTTATATTTATGAAGAATTTCACAGAGTGACTTTGTGGCATGAATCTAATCACCAGGAGATCAGCATGTGGTATAAATCTAATCACCAGGAGATTAGCGTAACTCAAGACAGTCATTATTTCACCTTTAAAGTCTAAGGAAGGTTTAATGAGACTACAACACTTCTCATAGATCTCCGGAAATAATTTAGAGGTCTCTGTGAGGGGCAAAATGGGGGGGGGGTACCAGAAGACTAAGGCAGTGCTCAGGTGTCCACCTTTGTACTAGGAGAAGCTTCTGCTGGCACCATCGACATGGGAACCAGTTATCTAGTGGGGTAGTATTTATTTAATTATATTTCAAATTTGTCATCGCCCATCTCACTGCAGAGCGACTGTAGATTGCTGAGAGCCAGTTTAGTGTAGCGGTTAGTGGCATCAAGCTAGAAACCAGGAGATGTGACTTCTAGTCCTGCCTTAAACACAAAGCCAGCTGGGTGACCTTGGGCTAGTCCCTCTCTCTCAACCTTAGGAAGAAGGCAAGGGCAAACTGATTCTGAAAACCTTGCCAGGAAAACTGCAGGGACTCATGCAGGCAGTTGCCAGGAATCAAGACTGACTTGAAGGGACCAAACAAATCAGATTGCTAGGGAAAAGGAGATGATCCCACTGAAGAAACCCCTTCCCTCATACAATGTCACTCCCTGCCAGTCCATCAAACATCTCCCCGGGGAGCAATTGTCCTGTACTGCAGACTGCACAGGCAGCTGCTACGGCCATATGTGGCCACAGACTAACCCCCCTCCCCTCCACTTGTGGTGAAGCAAATTAGCTACATCAAGGGATATGACATTTTCTCCCCTTCTGTCATCCAGAAATTACAATTAGGTAACAACTCCTTGATCAAACAAATCAACCCAGAGTACTCACTCGAGGCACAAATGACCAG